CATTTGGGAAATACAATCATTAGGGTCAAGCCATTCAACCGCCGTTATCAAGTCACTTAAAGGTGAGCACACTCAGAACAAGAAAATCACAATATATGTGAAAAATTAAGCACAATTAATTCAATTCCATTTATAGTGCTAGAGTATTAATATCAAATTGAATTTGTTAATTAATAAGAGTAGCGCACAGCCTAGTGAGTCTGAAACTAAACGAAGTAGGCTTAGTTGGGTACGACGAAAACCTATGATTATATAAACAACTTTAGTTGGTATTTTGACAGAGAAGTATTGTTCGATCACAAACTGCGTCTGAGGAACATTTTTTGTTTGTATTGTATATTTTTGGTGTTCAAAGACGATGCCTTTGTAATACTAATAGTGAAGAAATATTTTTATATAATGGGCATATGTTGGGTATGTGAATGTAGTATATTTTCCCCGCAGATTTCTATATACTAAACTAACTTGTTATTTGCTACTTTGCAATACAATGGTTTGCCGTTGTTCTTCAGTCAGAAGAAATACGACGAAGCTTTTGCCCAAAAATACCTTTCTTTAGTTCAACGTCATCGTAGTTTTATGACCCAGCAGTTTTGAATCTGTGTAAAACAATGTTTTTTGTGTGTGTGAACGGGTATTCTAAACATTGTAAAACGATACTTGATAAATCTTGATATATGAGCTGAATCAATAATGTTGCGTCAGCGAGATCACGTGACTATTGTCACACCACCTGCTTTCTAGAACTATCCCGTTTCTTCGGGAGTGCTCTAGCATTTACTAGATTGGGGGGCGGTCTGGTATATATAAGATGGTCACGGCGTGACGTGACAATAATGTGTGTGTGTAGGTAGTGAGTAATTGAACTGCAGTCAGAAAGTATTGTTGAAGTTAACGTTCGTTGTTAAAACGTTTGTAAAAGAGCGACTGTTGAAAATAAGTGTATCGGTAAAGTTATATTCAGAAAGAATAAACCAGTTTTATTAAGTAAGGACTTGTGTCGCTAAAGTTTCGTCGCAACGAAGTTACGGAAAATCAATTAACAAACGGAGACATAACAATAACAATCCAAATAAGTTGAAGGGAAGTTAAGTTATTCAGTTTTCAAGACTTTTTTTTTTTGTTAGTTAACTTTGTTATTATTGGTAAGTAGACTTTTAACTCTCATTTTTAACTAACCACAGATACAACTAGCAGCAACTGAAAAGATAACCACTTTTTTTGCTATACTCAGTTTTATAAGATCTGGAATGTTTTATGTGTCTCCATGTATATGGTGCAGAATAATAAACGTTACAGTTAACCCCAATTAATCCCTAGGCCTTGTCACGAGCTCAAAGGAATGAGTATTGTAATAATCTTAAATAATAAAATAATTGGGTAGGCGAGGAAATAACAGAATACAAAATAGAATATAAAGTAGTGGTGAAAAACTCGCCAAATTAAAATAACTTTATTAATAAAAAAAAAACGACGTTTCGGGCAACATCAGGTTACCAGTGACAAAGAAACAGTTAATATTGGAGTTAGTTGAATAATAATGAAAGTATAAAAATTGTCTAAATACATTTAATCGTAGAAAATAAACTAAATACAAAAAAAATGGAAATATAGAACAAAAATACAGGCAACAATGTAAGAAAATGAATGAACACGTGCATCGGGTAATATTGTTCAAACGGATACAATAATAAAAGGTGTGAATTTAGGAGTGAAGAACGACGGTGAATATAAAATAAAGGTAACAGAAGTGGGTGATTGAAGTGAACGAGAGAAAAAAGAGTGCTAACTTTGAACGAAAAGGTTGTAGACACTAAATATATTTATACAATTTTTGTACTTTTATTATTATTATTTTTAGCTATTACTTCCCTTAGCTGATTTGTAGTTTCAGGAACAGGTTCTCGAGCCACTTGTTACTTGTTTTTAAACTAACCCTTATATTAACTGTTTCTTTGTCACTGGAACCTGACGAAGGGCTGTTGGCGAGTTTTTCACCACCACTTTATATTCCATATTGTAATAATCTTGACAGACGAATGGGTCGTGCCAATCGAGCGCCATTTTGTCGGAGGTATAGATGTTAGAAGAATTCCACATAACTGTCCATTGGTTTTATTGTATGTGAAATGTGAACGTCTAAATGTTCTTTAAGTTCACTCCATATCTGCAAAGATAAACAATATGTCAATTATATTCAACTTTATGTATTTTACTGACAAATCTCTTCGTGGAGCTGATTAAATGGTCCATACTTTGTTTTTATTTTTTGCTGTTATGTTACAAATTATAATTTAGAAATATTGTCTTACAAAATGAAAATTTCAAATGAATTGAACACTAAATTAAATATTGTAAACTTGATGAATATCAAATTTTATGTTACCAAATGGCATAGCAATAAGTTTGATGACTTATGTTAAAAACGTTATCATGACAAGCAGTACACAGATATAGGTTGATTCTTAAAACTGGCAGGTTGGTTACCTGTCTCTACGAGTGTAAATGGTCACCATTTCAAACATTCTTGGCGTTGTTCTGACACCTTAATATTATGCTTATACCATATATCTATAATTTGTAATTTAAGATTAACAGTATTTTGTTAAAATTCTGGAAAGTTAAATTGTAACATTCGCAAAAATTTTTCGTACACATTACGTGCTGTTATTCTTGTATAGTGATAACACTTCCAGCAAGATGGCGGCAGCCTATTTATGGATAATAATGGATGGAGACGGCTTAAATGGGTAATGAAGAAAAACTTTAATATAAGTTTAACATGACAGAAAATGTACAACGTTTCGACAAGGTTTTGTCATCATCAGGATTGGATTTATGGATAGTTTAATTACGGTCAGTGGCTAGCAGTTTCTCCAATGTAAATACAACTCAATGAGACAAACAAACGAAGTTACTTAAGAGTATTTATGAATCGATTTTATTTTTCTTCGTCAAGTTTCCTGTAGCTCAAGATATTTTCTTTCTTCTTAAATTAAATATTAAAAATTGAGATCGGAATGACGTAACAAATTTTGGCCAATCAGGAGTATAGTATAGTATAGTGTAAAGGTTCAATTGGACGAGAAAATAAAGTTATACTGGCCAATCTACTGGTCTTGCATATTGTTTGCTATAAAAGAAATATTTAAATCTACCTAATTTCTTAACCCTAATATATTACAAGTCGGTACTTTGGAAGTCTTTGATATTTATAATATGAAATGAGTGTATTTCTTTTTAACTATAAAATTACTCCCATTAGCGAAAACAAAATAAAAACTATATATGTAGTTTATGAGCATATTAAATTTATTTCTGGAATAATTTATACGCTCTTTTAAAAAGTACACCTAGTACTCAGCTTAAGAAAGTTAATAAATTAAGATTTATGATATTGATCACGTGAGGAGGAGACGTGTTACAGCGCTTGACAGCGATTCTTGAAAGTCATAGAGATTGTTTGTTTGGCGTATGCGCAGTACAAACAAACACACCACGATCAACTCAACGAGTCTTGTTACTTAAACTTTAGGGTACCCAGAAAAGCTTGAAACTCTTGAATTTAAGGATTCCTTTTTCAAGTACTTAATAATTCTTGAATCTTGGTGGACAAAGTTGTGTTAGCATATTCAACTTCTCGTGAGTATAGAGGTTTCTCCCCGTCCCCGTTGGTACAGCAGTAAGCCTAACGGCTTATAACGCTTACATTTTTGGTTCGATCCTCGCGGTGTACACGGCTTATATAGTTCATTGTATATTTTTGTTCACCCACCGCCAACTTATGGGTTACTCTAATTGAATAGTGATATCTGACCGTCACTCTTATCATGCACCACAGCTTCAAAGTACAGAGCGCGATTTTATTTTCCAGCAGCAACAGGGTGCGAATCACGGAACCTCGGATCCACCATCTCGCGCGCTAATCTCTGGGCCACTCTCGGCCAATCAAACTAGTTACGTTTATAAAAGTATTAGCTGTTCAAATAGGAAACATTAATAACCTTTTTTAGTGACGTACAATAATTGAAAATGGGGGAAAAAGTCTCGTTTCCAATAGAGTTATCAATATATTTATTTAACTTTCAGTTATAATTTCATCATTATTACGTGAATTTCAGATTGATAGAAATACTAATGCAAATTTTGTGAGTCGATTTGACAAATAAACATTCTTTTATACGTCACCAAACTGCCACGTACCCATAGCCCCTCCCTATGAATGTCATGGGAGTGGGGACGGCGTTGTGATCTGACCTCCTATGTCACGCCCGTCACATTTTAAATTTAAAAAAAAGTTTCTTGAATTTCGCGCAGATCTATACTCGAGGGATATCTGCGCTAACCGTCCCTAATTTAGAAGTGGTAAACTAGGTTGTCAACACCACCCACCCTCAACTCGTGGGCTACTCTTTACTAACGAAAAGTGGAGTTGACTGTCACATTATAACGTTCCCACGGTTGAAAGGTCAA